GCTGTTGCAGTAAAGAAAACAACTAGGAGCTTATCATGGCTGGATAAATGGATAAATGAGCCTGAAAGGGAATGAAATACCCAGATTCCTGCTCTGCATACCTGGTTCCCGCAATAAAGGACAGTATCTTATGCTTTCTCATCTACATCCATTTCCCCTGAGGCTATAGACGGAGCAGAAGGCTGTCCACTGCTCAGAAAACATCAGGCTGTGCTTTCATTGCAATGACTGCAATTGAATCCTGTGCTTCTGACCTTCTCCTGGCTTCCTGCATGGGCTGGAACGATATTCCTCTCATGCAAAATTGTGATTTTTCCCACTTCCCTCCTGGCTCTCACACTGGCTGGGCTTCTCCCTGGAAACGTAGGCGAGTCTGTACATTAGGGGCAGATGTGCTCCAGACTAGCTGGGGTGAAAACCTGTCCCCATCTCCCATGCCAGCAGTGAAGGGGTTTGCCGTCTTCTGAAAGACAGAGGCTTCTCTGGGTGTATGTCCCCTAACCGGTTCCCTCCTGTCCCAAGAGGTCCAGGCACCAGCTTTTTCCCTGTTTCTTGTCTATAACACTGACATAAAAGGGATAAGATCAAATTCTTGGATTAGCATAAAAAACCCGGGGAGAAATCCTGGGGAGAATTCCTCGCTCTGAGCACATACATGAAAGTCCTGGACATCAATCCAGAAGAGGGAGGCAAAGAGTTTAGAGGTCTGGGAGGAGGATCAAAGAAACCATCCATCAGAACAGAAGAAGACTTAGACACCTCTGATAAAGACTCTTGGGCATGAGTGTCACCATCGGTGCCCTCACCTTTGGGGGCAGCTGCTTATCTTGACCCCTGCCAGCTGAGCTTCTGGCTACTTCCAAAGAGTTCCTGTCCATCTGCAAGCATGGACATCTGAGGAAGGTGAGAGCAAGAGCTGCTGGAGGGCAGGCTCCTACCTGTCGGATGCAGGGGAAGGAGCCATCCTGAGCAGCCTCGCTTTGCAGTTCCACATCAACTGAGAACCCCCTTTGTATTCAGGCTGCCGGCACAGCACACACGGCTGTGCTGGGCCCCGCTGGGTGGCACCCAGGGAAAAATCATCCCACGAGCCATTTCCAGATTTTCCTTTGTTTTGCCCAAGAGCCAGTAAAAGGATAAGAAAAAAAAAAAAGGAATTGCTCCTATAAGGAGCTGGGAAGAGCACTGGGAAGGGGACCCAGACCTTGCTCTGCTGTTCTACCTTACCAGCCACGATACCTAGCAGAGAGTTTGGTGCAGACGATGATTGCTTGCCCCAGAAGTGAAATAACATGTTTCTCTTCCCTAGAATAAGGAAAAACGGTCATTCTGTGTGCTGTCCAAGAAAGCTGCAGCCTCCAGTGCCCTCATACCCTATGGCAGTCACAGCTGGGTCTGCCTGGGCACTTGTGGCCTGAAGCTCTCAACAGGGTTTTGACAGAGCCTGTGCCAGCACCTGGCTGGCATGCAGGCCCCCAGGGAGCAGCTTTCCTGAACCTGCTCCTTTTTTTTTTCTTTTGGCAGACAAGGGATCACCTCCTGGCTGGGAGCGCAGGACAAAACAGTGAGAGCACTGCTGCGTGTTTGCACAACATCACGGGGCATCATCTACTCCTGCCATGCAACATCCTGGAGGAGCCCAGGACACAGTTGTCTCCTAAGACAAGGAGCTGTCAGGGCTGAGGAGCGCTGATCCTGTTGGATGCATTGACAAGGAGAGCTTGCCATCTGCTGGAAGGCCATCAGCATCGACAGGCGACAGCCTGGCAGGAGCTCTTGGGTGTAAGACCAGGAGAAAGGCCTGTCAGCAGTCCCTGGGGAGCTGGATGGCGTTTAGGCTTGCAGAGAAAGGAGAACGAGCATCCTCGGAGGTGGGTAAGCACAGAGCAGGCACCAGGAAGCACCAGTCTTGGGGAGATGAGGTCTGACAAATCTCACTGCAGGGTTTTAACAGGCTACCACTCCCCTTGAGCCCTCCTTGGAGGTACCTGTCCCCATCGCAGAGGTAACAGAAGGGAATACGTGTTTGTGCGACTAATGCGTCTCGACTCTTTCGTTAGTAGGTGTCGTGGTGTAGGCCGACCCGGCAACTAAACTCCACACAGCCGCTCTCTCACTCCTTCCCCAGTGAAATGGAGAGGAGAAAAATATAATAAAAGGACTGAGGGTCAAGAAAAGAACAGAGAAGGAGCACCCACCAACCATGGTCCCAGGCAAAACAGACTCGGCTTTCTTAAAGCAAAGCAATTTATTAAAAGTTACTTAAAAGGACAAAGGGAAACAAAACCAATTACTTGAGAGCATAAAAAGAAACAAAGCCAGATCTTAAAAACAACACCTCCCCACCCTCCCCACCCCCCTTTCCTTTTCTTCGCAGCTCTACCTCCCCCCCAGCGGCGCAGGGGGGACAGGGAATGGGGGAGTGCAGGTCAGTTCATCCCATGTTGTTACTGCCGCTCCTTTCTTAAAGGAAGAGGAGTCCTTACACCATTTTCCCTTGCTCCAGTGGATCCCCTCCTCATGAGGAAAATCCACAAACTTCTCCAGCGTGAGTCCTACCCACAGGATGCAATCCTTCCCCATCGGATTGCTCCAGTGTGGGCTTTACCACAGTCTCAGATTCTTAGGGAGTTGTTGCCACTCGCTCTGGCGCGGGTCGTCCCACAGACTCTAGATGCGTCTCTACTTTGTCGTGCCCATGCTTCACAATCATCCTCAGGCTCAGGCATCTCTTCTCCCACGTGGGCTTCTCCACAGGCTACGAATGGGTCTCTGCTCCACTGAGTCCGTCCTGGCTGCAGGGGGCCACCTGCCATCTCGCCACCGGTTGCCGGGGAAAGTCAGCTCCGGCACACCTCGTCCCGTTCCATCTTCACTGACCTGGTGTCTGTGTAG